GGGAGCCAAGTGGCGGAAGCGGGAGCGGAACCAGCAGATGGACCTGTGCAAGAACGGCTACGTGCCGCAGTTCAGCGGGCTCATGCAGCCCTACGACGACGTCTACGCCGGCTACCCCTACAACAACTGGGCCACCAAGAGCCTCACGCCGGCGCCGCTCTCCACCAAGAGCTTCACCTTCTTCAACTCCATGAGCCCCCTGTCCTCGCAGTCCATGTTCTCGGCGCCCAGCAGCATCTCCTCCATGAACATGCCCTCCGGCATGGGTCACTCCGCCGTGCCGGCCATGGCCAACTCCGGCCTCAACAACATCAACAACCTCGGCGGCTCCTCGCTCAACTCGGCCATGTCGTCGCCGGCGTGTCCCTACGGGCCGCCGGGCTCGCCCTACAGCGTCTACCGGGACACTTGCAACTCCAGTTTAGCCAGCCTCAGACTGAAATCAAAGCAGCACTCCAGTTTCGGCTACAGCAGTTTGCAAAGCCCCGGCTCCAGTCTAAACGCCTGCCAGTACAACAGTTGACGGACTTGACGCGAGCCGCCTCCGACAAACGCGCCGGCAAAGCAAAGCAGAAACAAAGCGACGTTTAACGGAAACACACACACATACACACACACACGCATACACACACACACACATACACACAAAAAGAGAGATGATAATTAAAAGCAAAACCCGAGTAAGCGAGAGAGGAAAAAAAAAAAGAAAGAAAGAAACTAAAAGCCCCAAAAGCTCCGCGGATTTCGATTACCTAGAAAAAAAAATAATGCTAACGAACGACACAACCAACAGTACAGCGTTTTTTTTTTAAAAAGAAACATCAAAAAAAAAAAAACGTAAAAGGACCAGAAATCTTTTGCAAGAGACACCGAAATCTGGTACATGGATGAGTTGCAATTTTTCTCTGGATTATGCGGGTTGTATGTGTTTACTTGAACTTGCACAGGAGTTTTTAACGCGTCCACTTTCCCGCGAGGAGAGTGGCGAGGGAGGGAGACGCCTCGGTGGTGAGAGCTGGTGGGACGGTTCTTGGCCGCTTGTCGCACGGGAAGAGTTTGGTTAATGTTTACCACTGAGAAACAGAAACACACTCAAAAAAAAAAAGGGAGAAAAAATATAATTCGCAGAGTAGATTCTGCGGGAAAAACGGTTAAAATATTAGGTATGAAACTATTAAAAATAATAATGACAAGGGTCAACCACTTATATAAGGATATATTTATATCTGCCGTTACATTGTGCCGGATCATTGTCCTTGGCCGTTGAATAAACTGTTTTTAAAATGCATGATTCTTGATGTTTTTTCTTTAGTTGGAAGCTATAATCCAGTCATTCCTGATACTAAGCAGCTCAAGGTTCCTACCTCTTCATCCTTTCCAAAAGACTGCAGTATCCCCGGTTGTGAGACTAGCACAAATATCCTCCAGCGATGCGAAAACTCTTCAGCATTTTCCCCATCCAAAGTCTTATCCTGATAATGAAATTATCATTCATCTTTATTTAAATGTAGGGGAGGGGGTTCTTAAAAAAAGAAAAAAAAGCTTTTAGAGAGTCTAGAAAAAAAGACCTAACGTGGTCTGCTATGAAGTGAATCCTGATACTGCATCTCTGCTAGAGAAACAGCGAGCCTCGGCGTCCGGAAAGGTTGCTTAGCAAAGCTGAAAGTGTTCCTTGGTTTTCTAGCTGTGAAGGAAAAACAAGGAACCAAAAATGATCTTAAGGTGTTATTATCTTAAGGTGTTATTATATAAATGTAGATACTTTAACAAGTGCTTGTTGGCAAAAAAAAAAAAAAAGAAAATGATAAATATGATCTTTATTAATACGCATACAAAACGCATATGAAGTTTAATTGCAGGCATATTTGTTGCTTATTTTTGTCGATACTTATTACCTGTAGATGACAAAGAAACATAATATAAAATGCACACGGTACTTCTTTCCCAGTGTATTTCACACCTGTGGTAAACGTTACGCTGGATGTTTCAATTATGCTGTTGTGGATAAGGATGCAGTATATATTGTTTTATAAGTTATGTTTTGTGAATTTTTTTTTTTCAAAATTAAGAGCATGGGAATAAAAAAAAAGACAAAACGAAATCAAGAAATGCCTTTAATATTTTTTTCTCTCTGTGGTTAAGAGATCGACTCTGTAAGAAGAAAAGCGGCTTGCTGCTCCCCGCCCCGCGGTG